TCAGTTGGCTACAGACAGATGCAGTTATTGTAGAAATGTACCTGTATTGAACAACCAGGGCAAAGGTGTGTTTCAGGTGACACAGCTTGTTAGAGGCTCTGTGTTGCTGTGATGACCAGATTAAATTAAGTTTATTTTGTTCATGATTTGCAAGATTTTGGTCCACAGTAGACAGGCTCTGTGAAGAGCAGAGTTGTGTAGTTAAGTCAGAGCCGATCTCTTCAGGGTATACTGGGAAGCAGAGTCTCTGTATCCCCTTCAGGGGCATATACCCAGTGACATGACTTCCTCCCACTTAAGAGGTTCCCAGGCCCTTCCAAGTCAGTTTATAAGGCTAACCATCTCATAGGCCTATAGGCTGACTGGCCACCAAGCCTTTTCTGGTTCTCTCTCTCCCTCCCTCTCCCTCTCCATCTCCCTCCATCCATAGTCTTATGGATGTAGCCCAGGTTTTCTTGACCCTCTGATACTTCTGCGTCAGCTGGGACTACAGGCATGTACTACCATGCCTGGCTGTGTCTAGACCTTTGAAGGACACAAAAGCCTTTGGGGGACATTTGAGATTCAAACTATAGCATATTGTCAAAACAAAAACAAAACCTTCTTATATTATTATAAAAAGGTAATTTTCAGGAAAAGATAAAATCTTGTTACAAAGATAAAAAACAAACAGAAGTTAGAAATTGTTATCTAGGCCTGAAGCTAAAGCTCAGTTGGGAGAGTGCTTTCCCAGCTTCATTCTACCCCATACCACATAAAGCTGCTGTGGTCTTGAACATCCATACTCTCTCCCAGATCTTGGGAAGTGTCGGCAGGAGGATCAGAAGCTCAAGGTCATACCATAAATTTTGAGGTCAGCCTGGGCTATATTGGAACCTGTAAATAAATAAACAATTATGTACTGCATTCATCTGAATCAAAGTGAGATCCAGGCAGGTGTGATAACAGGCTTAAAAGGGCCATGTAGTTGAGGGATATAGGGATGAATGTTCCCCGAGGGACTGATGCCCTATAAGAGAGGGCAGAATCTGCATGTGGACCAGAATAATTTGTATATTGTTACCTCCCTGCCATTTGTATTGCAGAGACGATGAAAGAGCATTGTCAGGTCACCTGCAGAGGTGACCTGTAGATGGTGTTTTCCACAGAAGCACAGCTCTAAGGAAGCACACACCTTCCCTGTATAATTTGCATGCACTTCTAAGGAGGTCGTGAGCATCACTTACATGATAGCTCTCAGGTGGGCTTCAACTAGCCACACAGCAGAGGGTGACCTTGAACTTCTGATCTTCCTGCTTCCACCTCCCAAGTTCTGGGATTTACAGGTGTGTGAGGCTGGGTCTTGAACCCAGAGCTAAGTAAGCCATATCTCCAAACCCACAAAATGATTTCCTATGAAATCTGGTCCAGTGAGTGTCAATGATCTACAGGGGCTGTAGAAAAGTAACTGAAAAATTTGGCCAATCATTTATCCAGGTATTCTCACTCAATGCCTAGGGCTCATGCTTTACTCACTTTGTAGAAACTTCAAATAGATGTGAACTTGGAGTTCAGCCAGTCTTGCTGTTACCAATTTAGCTGACCCACAAACTGAAATATCCACTACATATACATATTTTCAGCTCAGGGTCACAGTGTGTCACCTGTGTGTAACAATGACCAGCCTGCTTGGCTGGCAGATTGGATCATCATTTTAGGGAACAGCAGGGGTTGGCACACAGCAGGAATTCTACACATACCTGATGACTTCATGGAGATATTTGATTCCTAAGCAACCAAGGAAACCCATGTGCCAGTTCCTAAAGAGGCAGGGTTACTGGGCATTAACAAGTTTCTAAAAATGTCCTAGGAAGACATTACTTTGGCCTCTGTGGGTTGGAACCAGGCACCCAGATTTCAAGCATTTACTCAGCTGCTGTTTCTGTTATCTAAAAATACATCGAGGGCTGCTGAGAGCTGGCTTATGGGCCTAACCCTTCTGCTTGCCAACCTGGCACAAGGCATGCTGAAAATGCCACAGAGAAACCCATCAGAGGCAGAGCTTAAACAGAATTTCTCTGTAGTAATGTGCCTTTCTCTAAGGCAGTGTTTTGTAAATCCTATTCTGAGGAATCACAGCTGTTAATAGGTTTTCTAGGAAAAAGAGGTGGGAGTGTGGTCAATAAATTTGCAAATGGCTGTGTGAAAATGCAGGGAGTGGGGTTTCCTGGCTGTAGAATCTCTCGGTTCTGCTGCATTGGGCCTTACATGTGCTCGGCAAGTGTTCCATCCCTGAGCTGAAGCTACACCTGGTGCAGATTGGAACTCTTTGAGGGTGCATGGAACCCACCCGTGGGAGTGAGGCCGAGCTCCTGTCCTCCATTCTGCCATATCTACTGTTGACTTTGCATTAGTTGTATGGTTGAGCATGACCTTGAACTTGTGACCCTCTTGGTGTTTTGAGGGATAGTTTAAATTTTCCATGAGCCTGAACTTCTGGCCTTCCTGCTTTATTCCCGAGTGCTAGGATTATCAAATCCATGTCCATTTTTGTTATCAGTATTGAGGGCAGAATCCAAGGTTTTATGTATACATTCACCAATTGAGCTATCTATACCCAGCTCTGGGACCAATATTGGAAAAATAAAATAGAGAAGAATAGAAAATCCAAGGTTACATTTGAGGTACTAAAGAGCGTCTTTTATTTGCCTTATGTTTATATGGCATGTAGATACTGGGTCACTGTATATTTCTTTTTTTAAAAAAACATTTTATTGTGTGGGAGGGCACATGTGTGACACCACATAGGTGCGAAGGTCAGAGGACAACCTGTGGGGTTGTTAGACCCCCGGAAAACTCAGGTATCCGGGGTCTCAGCCCAGGACCGAGGTCACCCCAATCATCAGTCAGATTTGGGAGCTTGCTGCAAACTGCATGAGGCTTTATTGTTGCTTAACA